TTAGGACTTTCGACTTTCCGGAGTGGATCTTCAATCCAACAGACTCTGATAGGCTGTTTAAAATTGTTGTCTTTGCTTGCATCCGTTCCTGGGTGTGTGACAGAAGCGCCAAGTCATCTGCAAAGTCCAGATCGTCCAACTGTGTCCAACTGTGTATACCGTTTCTGTGTTCTCTGGTGGTTTCCTTCATCAGCCAGTCGACTGCCAATATGAAGAGGAACGGTGATAATAAACATCCCTGTCCCACACCAGTCTTGATGTCAAAGATGTCAGTGAGCTGGCCATCATGTACAACCCTGCAACTTGTCTCTTTGTACATACTCTTGATGAGGTTCACCAACTTCTGTGGGATTCCGTGGAGTCTCAGTATCGTCCATTGTGTTGCTCGGTCTATACTGTCAAAAGCCTTCTCATAGTCAAGGAAGTTGACGATCAGCTGGGAGTTCCACTCCAGGGACTGTTCCACAATAATCCTCAGCGTGGCAATCTGGTCGGTGGTAGAGCGATATTTTCGGAATCAAGCCTGTTCATCCCGTAGTCTTGGATCCGTTGCTGTCTTTATTCTCTCCAGAATGATTCTGTTGAAGACCTTACAGAGAAGAGTGATCCCTCTGTAGGTACTGCAGTTGCTGAGATCCCCCTTTTTTGGAAGCTTCACGAGGTGTCCTTCTTTCCAATCATTTGGGAACTTGCTCTCATTCCAGATCCTGGTAAACAGTGGGAGGAGGATGTCTGCCGTCACATTGGCATCTACTTTTAGGGCTTCAGGTGGAATCTGGTCGGGACCGGCCGCTTTACCTTTGTTCAGCTTCTTAATGGCGTCCAGAATCTATTGTTTTGAAGGAGCATCACAGCAGATTGGTAACTCATTTCTTGCTGGAAAGATGTTTGGTGGGTTGCACGGTGGTGGTCTGTTCAGGAGACTGTTGAAATGCTCTACCCATCGTTTGGTCTGAGCTTCCTTTCCAAAAATGGTTTTCCCCTCTTGGTCCTTTACTGGTACTTCAGGTTTCCCGTATTTTCCAGAAAGTGTCCTTGTGGTCTGGTAAAGGATTCGCATGTGCCCCCCTACCGCTGCTTCCTCTGCCTTCTCAGCCTGTTCATGAATTCCTCCTTGTCTTTTCTTAGCGATTTCTTGACATCTTTAGCTGTTGTCCTGTACTTCTCCAATGCATCCGCACTTGACCCTCTTGTTTTACTTGCATTCGCTTCTGCCTTCAGCTGTCTTCCTATCCTAATTAAATCCGATGAGTGTTGGCTAATCCATTCCTTGTGCTCCCATTTCTTCACACCGAGTACTTCTTGACAGGTTGATGTAAAGACTTCTTTGACCTTGGTCCAGTGTGTATCCACCTCCATGTCTTCTCACCAAGATCCGCAAAGGGTTGAAATCTGTTCCTCAACTGCAGTTGAAACTCCTGTTTCTTGTGTCCATCTAAAAGACTTACTTGGAACTTCATTCTTTTGGTTCCTGTTCTGGTTCCATGCTTTTTTAGACGAAGCTTGAGTTTTGCTAATAGCAGATGATGATCCGATCCAACGTCTGCCCCTCTCTGTACTTGGACATCTTCCTGTGAACGCCTGAACCTACGAGAGATACAAAAATGATCAATCTGGTTCTCTGTCCTTCCATCCTGTGATACCCAAGTAGCCTTGTGGATCCTCTTATGGGGAAAAACAGAGCCTCCGATGACAAGACTGTTGAAAGCACAGAGATTTGCAAATCGCTCACCGTTCTCATTCATTTGTCCCAGGCCATGTTGTCCCATGATTCCCTCGTAATCTACGTTGTACTGACCAATCTTGGCATTAGCATCTCCCATTATGATGTTGACATCTTTCCTTGGCAGTTTGTCGATGACCCCCTGGAGCCGGCTGTAAAAAGCATCCTTGTCATTATCCGAAGCATCGTTTGTTGGGGCGTAGATCTGTACTATGATCATGTTGATGCTCTTACTTCTGGTAGTGAAAGAAGCCATGATGATCCTCTCCCCCTGTGGTTCCTATCCTCTAAGTGACTTCTGTGCATACTTACTCAAAATAATTCCAATTCCCTCCGCATGGTGCTTGTCTTCCCTCCCAGAATACAACACTTGTTCCCCCGAGCTGAGCTGCTTCTGTCCAGACTGTATCCAGTGGGTTTCGCTGACTCCTAGAATGTGCAGCCTGTATCTTTTCATCTCTTGTGTCACTTGAGAACTCTTTCCTGCTTCATACATGGTGCGAACATTCCACGACGCAATCCGGAGAGACTTGTTCGACAGAGAAGGTTTCGGGTCAGAGGAGTCCTTTCGGCTTTGTCCGCTGTCCTTCATTGTTCCTGCTGATGCAGAAGCTCCTCCGTCTCCCAAGATGGAAACATTATAAGGCATGTTTGTTCTTGTTTCTGTAACTTTCCTTTTTTACTGGGTCGGGTAGTTGGCCCTCCGCAAACTGTCACTTTTCGGGTGGCCAGACCTATGCACCTTTAGTCGCCTCTTACTACACGCAGTATCACGGCAGGTGTATTTTTTACTTGGCCCCCCACCTTACGATAACGTGCCCAAAGAATAATACGACAAAGACGTTTACAGTGATGTGGTTCAGTTCTTGGCATTATAATTTCTGGAGGGAAGATATCAATTAAATAATTATATGACACCATTGTTATTGACCCCTCCAAAAAGATTCGACTTGCAATCGCGTGTTCAAAATCGTAACAGTGTACGTTGTTATAAGTATTGTAGTAGGCCTACATGTATTAGTATTAGTGGCATGGCATGACTGAAAATACCATCTCCCCACGATTTTTAACGATGCAAGAGGAAGAATATAGTATTAGACACAATGCAGACAATACTATACAGCCATCGCTATAATTGTTTTCTTTATTCCTAGAATTTCAGTAAGTGTTTTACGGCACTTGCAAAACAATTAGATTATACAAGTACCGAAGACAAGAGGTATTTATTTACCGGTACAAACAAGAGAAGGCGGTGAAATAAGAAAGATAGATGTATGATAGGAATGAAGGAGGTTGACCGTGTGCGGCGCGCTGTTTCAGTAGCTAGTTTAATGGAGTCTTGCTTGATGACACACCCTAATGATTTCCTAATAGAATTAGATGAAGCTTCGATACTTGGGCGATTCATTTTCAAGAAACACGCAAGCCACTACCTCATTTCTAAGAAATACCTAGAGAGCAATTAGATTAAAAATGATCTTGGTGGGTTTTGTAAAGACATATCAACACACTCACACACACACGCTCGAGCGCGCACACACACGATCGCGCGCTCACACGCACGTGCACACACACACACACACACACACACACACACACACACGCGCGCGCGCGCGCGCACGCACGTACGCGCTATCACGCACGCACACACAGACGGCCGCACACACACACAAACCTACACGCAGACACACGTATATACTCTCTCTCTCTCTCTCTCTCTCTCTCTCTCTCTCTCACACACACACACACACACACACACACACACACACACACACACACACACACACACACACACACACACACACACACACACAAACCCACACACACACGCGCGCGCGCGCAAGCGCCCGCTCAAAGCACACGCATGCACACAGACAGACACACACATTGTATACGTTTGTTTGTGTGTGTGTGTGTGTGTGTGTGTGTGTTGTGTGTGTGTGTGTGTGTGTGTGTGTGTGTGCGTGTGTGTGTGTGTGTGTGTGTGTGTGTGTGTGTGTGTGTGTGTGTGTGTGTGTCGGCTGGGCATGATATGCAGTGGTTGAAAGAAAAACGTTTTCACACAGGGATCCACCCTATTTTAATTAGTTTGAATATCTGATATACAGCAGAGCGCATTAAAATGTTTTTCAAAAATAAAACAAACTATTGCTGATCTTTCTGATTCTATTATTTGTTTTCACTTCCTTTAGTTTGAGTAAAGACACCACACTATTTTGTGCATGTAAAAATTAAATCAAAACAAACAGACAGAAAGAAACAACGGAGGGAAAGAAATAATGGAAGCAGGTCCGACCTTTGGCGTCCACCAACCACCCAAATTGGTTTTTGTGGGAGTTTTCGTTGTTGTTGTTGTTTTTTTTGTTTTTTTAGTATGTGTTTTACGGTGTTCACAACGGCATACGATCATACGAGCACAGGACACACCAAACATTTTTAGTTGACAGGAAATTTTGAATTTTTTTCCAGGTGTCGGCCGAAGCCTACTCTTATCGATTTTGGACCATCAGAGGATCTTTAACGTGTGCAACTTGCGCACGTGACCTCCGCGAATTTTCATCCTTATCCGAGAAGGTTAAGTGTTAGATCTTATCTACCACAAGAGTCAGGAGCGCAGAGGAGGGGCAAAGGAGGTGAGGGGGTGGGGGGTGGGGGGCAGAAAGTGGAGGCGAAAGCAGACGACAGAACATTGTAAGAGAGCTGAAAAGAATGTGATATGAGAATATAATTTTAGGGAAGAACATTTTTCTTCCCCATCCGGATTCGAACCTGGGACTTATTGAATGAGAGAGACCACGAGAACCCTTGGGGGGGGGGGGTGTAAAAGAGGAGAATGAGGAGGAGATGAAGAAGAAAATGAAAAAGAAGAAGACGAAGAGCAACAACAAAAATAGGAACAAGCAGTAGAACAAGCTGAACAACAACAATAACAACAACAGCAACAACAACAACAACAACAACCACAACAACAACAACAATAACAACAACAGCAACAGCAACATCAAGTAGAACAAGAACAAACTATTATATAACAAGAACAAACAAGAACGCAGGTCTCCTGCCTGAGACAGCGAAGCACCTAACCCCTACACCACAGACACCGGTACTTTAGTACTTATTAATTCTAAACCCGAATGACAAAAATGAGGGTACATAGCACCATAATTGTCAAACCTGGCCCTGGCCTTTTTCAACAGAAGGTGAGGAATTGGTCCGAGCGATTCGATAGTTCTGAAACAGCTTGCTATTCACGTAACTCTCTTCTGTTTGTGTTGGGGTCGTGGGGTTGGTTTTGTTTTGTTTTGTTTTGTCTTTGTTGTTGTTGTTGTTGTTGTTGTTGTTGCTGCTGCTGTTGCTGTTTGTTTGTTGTTGTTGTTGTTTGTTTTTTTTTTTTTTTTTTTGGGGGGGGGGGGTTGGGGGTGGGGGGTGGGGGGGGGGTCGTTTTTTCCTCGCATTTGTATATGTAACATATTGAAGCTTCTGTCTGACATCTGAAGGTGTGTTTCTTTTAATCGGAATGTTTCTCTTTTTTCACATTTTTGTTTATTGACGCTGTTTTTATTTATATATTGATTTATATATTTATCTATATATTTATTTATCTATTTATTTATTTATTTAGTCATTCAGTCATTTAGTCATTTGGTCATTTTCTTATGGAGGAAAAGGGGGTGGTAATCACCAAAGCGTAGAGTCGACACAAAATATCAGCCAAATGGAACTAACAGATTGACATGAAATAACATGAAATCAGCGGAATTAACTGTTGATAAGATCTACCAAGTTAATACAGTTGATATAATAGTAATACAAAGTCACCAGAGCTCAGTGTTTTTTATGTCAACAAATTCATGTCATTAAGTGTAACGTAATACAAAATCAATAAAACTGTGTCAGTTGACCTAATTCACTTATTAAGTTATATGACACACCCCACTTAATACAATACTGCACAAATTATCAAATTATCCTATGTTGCTTGTTTCTTACACCCCCCCCCCAACCTTTTTTCCCTTATACGAGCTTCCTTCACAGTTGTCCACCCGTATGGCTCAGGGTGCAATCGGAGACGAACGCTGAATCGAGAATCCTGTAAAAACATGGAGATGGTGTTGTTGTTTTTTTGGTTATTTGTCGCTTGTTTGTTTGTTTTTGTGTGGTTGTAAGACTTTTGTAACTTTTAACCTACATTTTGACAGTATACCACAGCTTGATATTGGTTTTAACCAGGGGTGAGAATTTGAAACGAGTGCTGCGATCGAGGTCCTTGTACAGACCACTTGTATGATTAACTTCTCTCTTCCCGCTGTGCACACATTTTCGAAGAGTTACATCGAACGATGCCCTACTTTTTATCTTGGAGATAATACAGGGCCTTGTCAAGGTCGTTACACCTTTGAAAGGTACGACAGCTGAATGATATGAGATACCTCAAAAGTTTTCAAAAGAACTATAATTTTTGTTTTTATATTTTGAAAAATTGGCCATTGTTAAAATCTTCTTACATTAATTTGTTAGTTTTGTTAATTTTTTTCAGCGCTTACAACTGCTTGAAGTCATATATTCGCTCTGTTAATCTTACGTATCAGTATTATTTGCCAGCTGTTTGTACATAGTCACTCGTTTAGTTTACAGTCCTCATAAACCGAACGCTCTGTTGTGCACTACCACATAGGGCCTATCCTTCAAACTAAAACGTCGCATCTCGGGAATTATTTCGTTACTAGCTGGGTACCCAATTCGATGAACAGACTCAAAAAGAATCGATCGTCAAGTCATTGTGGGTCCAGTGCGCACTGCATTTGAACGGTAGCTTCACTTGTTTACAATTGCGTCTTAGAAGACGGACTTTCCCCAAGATTAGATCTAAACGAAACTAATGAAAAACTGACAATTAAACTACAGTGACTTCAGACTCCTTAATATAAATGTGCACCCTTTGAAAGATTTTGAACCTCGGTTAATTTGTTCAAACTCGAAAGTTAAGTGGTTCGGAAGTTTTAGTCGACCAAAGTGATGAACTTTCACAAATATAATATTTAAGATTACCCTACTCCGACAATTATAATGCACCTTGAATTTTAAACAACTAAACGGCGTATTCATGGATAACCATGCAGTGGCTTTAGGAGTTGGTATGTGTTGGGTTTTAAAATCCTTTCAATTTACTTCAGGTTATTTATAAAGCGGCTCCTTCAATCTAATGTCCGTCCCCGATAGAACCGGCACAGAGAAGTGTGAAATCTCTGTAAGCAC